AGAGAGAGAGAGAGAGAGAGAGAGAGAGAGAGAGAGAGAGAGAGAGATACAGAGAAAGACAGATAGACAGACAGAAAAACAGACTCTGTCTCTCACTTCCTTTTAAAACCACCCCTTTCCCCTGCCTCACCTGCCAGAGGTGACAACAGCACCAGGAGAAACGTGAAGAGGAGATAATGGATCCTCATGACTGAAGCCTGGTGAATTGCAGAGACAGAGAGGGAGTCAAGCTCAACACCTTATATAGGTCCAAGTGCTGGCTCCGGGGTAGAACCCCAGTAATTGCAGTTATGAAACACAGAACACCTTACCTCTCTTGCCAAGGAGTGGCCCTTAGCACAGTCATTGTCACTTATGCAAATGTGGGGAGCCCCAGACAATTTCTTCCTCTACTGGAAACCAAGAACAGCTTCCTGTCTTGTTTCTCTAGGTGTGAGGGACCCAGGCTGCCAAAGGTCACAGACTTACTGGTTACAACTTGGCCTTACGCACCTGTTCCTCACGACTTTACCTTGGTCATCTCAGAGTCTCACAACAGGCTTAGGTCCCACTGGGAACTAATTTCACATAGATCCATCAGGGCTTAGTTCCCCAAGTTTTTCCAGGTCAGAACATGGACTTTGTCTCATACATTTCTCCAAGTTACTACAGAAAGGTGAAATTCATTTGTTGCTTTAAAAACCCGCCAGCAATTCACCATCCACCCAATGTGATGGGCACGGAGTCAGATCAATGTGATAGTTCTTCTTACAGAGAAAGCAATGAGTTGGAAACATTTTACCTGGACATATGTCCCTTTGCTCACCTGGAACAAAGCCAGAGAATGACTGATTCTGGCCACCAAGTGATGTGCAACTCCACGGGACTTGATAGTCATTGAGTCTGTGGTTCTTAGTTTTCTGGGACAAGGGAACATCAGTGAGGGAGTTGAGGTTTGGGAGTTGAGACTTTATGACAGTGGAATTCCAGCCCTTCCCACCTCCTCCCTGTTGGTCTTGGTTCTGAGGGAGGCCATGCGGCTCAGGCCTGAGTGAGATCTCGTGTGTCTCCCATAACCCAGTTGGTCATTTTTAACCTAGAGAACCATTGACGGTGATTAGGACATAGCCCATGCCGAGGACTGAGAGATGGGACTTTCTAAGGGAAAAGAGGCTTCATCAATCATGAATTCTTCCTCTCTACAGGGACTTTAAACAAATAAGCAGATAGGCAGAAATATAATTTAAGGTCAGTTTTGACAAAGGCTGTTATGGAGTTTCCTGCAAAGAGACTGGCAAATCTGCAGAGTGAGGAATTTAGACGCACAGTAGACTGCTTCATTTCCTCTGCTGCTGTAATTTGGAAACCCATGGAACTGGGCTGTGTAGGGCGTACAATAGAGATTTTAAAAGATTGTACACAGTAAGTATGCATAGTTGTGGAGTACTGTGTACTATTTCAACATATGTGTACAGTGTGTAATGGTCAAATTGGGATAATCGCCATATCCATCACTTCAAATTACATGGTGTTACTATACTGAGTAGCCTCTATCCCCCCCTCTCATAGCTATTTTTAAATATGCAGTAGCTCATTACTCCAGTGATACCACTATCCAATAGATACAGTGGAAACCAGGACTTCATTCGCCTATATTTTTTTTAAACCACCAGCTAACTTCTCACTATACCCCTCCCCGCATCCGTGCTTTTCTCTGGCTATTATTAACCTACTCTGTCATTAGAGGTGTCCTTAAAGGTAGCCGGTGATTGCCATGTAATGATGGTTTGGTCCAAAGAGGAAGTTTCTGATGAATCAGGGAAGGACAGGGCTGGGTTAGGATGCTCTTGCAAATTATAAACAAATTCCTATCTGGGGCTGGAGGATATGACATCACACCCCTTGTCAAGACTTCTTTTCCCTGTGTGATACATGCATGCAGTACTAAAAAGCATGCTCATTCATCCCCAACACTAAGAGTAATTCTTCCTGGCCAGTGAAGCACATACAAAAACCGAATGCAAAAAGGTAATTGTCTCTAAATGTGCAGCCTGGATTAATACCCCATCCCTTTCTATTTGCCTTAGTTCTCTCACTTTCAACAGTAAAAATTAAATATGTTAGTTTTTCTATCAAGGTGGCAAAATATTTTTGACAAATTGACTTTGATGGAAGGAAGAAATGTTTTTTCGGCTCAAAGCTCAGATGTTCAGTCCATAGTCAATTGGCTTCACTGTGTTGTGGTCTTTCACGAGCCAGGACATCATGGCAAGGAGTATGTGGTGGGGTAAATTCACCCACCTTCTGGCAACCAGGAAACAGAAGGGAGGGGTCTGGAGTACCAATACCCATTGCTATGGTGCATGACCAAAGACCTAGCTTGCTCCTACTAGGCCCGCTGGCTAAAGGACCCACCATCTCACAGAGGAGCCTCAGGCTAACCAAAACTTTAACACATGACCTTTGCTGTATATTTAGGATCTCAGTCAAGCCAGGTGTGGTCATGAATAGACATGATCCCACTCATGTAATCCCACATACCCAGGAGGCTGAGGCAGGAGGACCAGAAGTTCAAAACCCACTAGAGTTATATAAGACTTTGAGGTCAGTTTTCTCTTTGACCTTAGAGAAACCATGTCTCAAACCAGAGTGGAGAAAAAGAAGCTGTGTACAAGGAATTCTGGCTTAAAGAGCACTTGATTTGCACAGACGAGGCTTGTGGTTCACTCCCTAGCATCATGGGGAAAAAAATTTCAAAAGTCCTGAATCACAGAACTTCATTAAACTTTTTTCTAATTATCTCATCTTATGTTTCTTTAGGGAAAATTCCCTCACACATACAGCCCCATTTGTATGTACACAAAGAAATATGCCTTAATGTAGTTTAGTATCTGGTCAATACTCATAAGCCTTCCATTATTACAAGTAGGATCTCAATAGCTATTGATGTTTTTTCCTGGATCATTTTAAATCTAAACACGCACTTTAGTGCGACTATTTCTTTGTAGACTTCTGTTTTTGTCTTGCTTTTGAGCAAGCAATCTTAAGGCATTCTTATAATAAAGGGGAGAGGCTTTATTGGGCTTAGAGGTTGAGTGAAGTTAGTGGATCCCACATTAGTATGCTTAGCCTTAACTCCAACTCATCCTTTCTCAGTGACTCATCTGCTTCCAATTACTCCTAAAACCACATGCTCTCTTTTAAAGCCCCACCCATACCAGTGCGAATTTCCCATAAAGCCCTGTTGCAATCCCAGGGAGCAGCCAGCAGCACTTTCCTGGATGATGCCTGTCCTGCTTTAAACTCGGTGAATGAGTGAGGCCTCGATAGAAAAAAAGCAAAGGTGACTTGAAAATGCACACACAGAAGGGGGCCGTTAACCTTCCCTACCTCCTTCAAGGAGAGGATGGCATCAACCTGGCTGTTGAGGACAGTGGCCTGAATGTCCCATCAAGAACTCTTGTACCTGAAGTTTATACTTACTGACAAGGGCTAAGGTGACTTCTTGTGGCTGTGTTCATCCTACTGACTGAATCCACCCACTTGAAAGAGACCTCCAGAATGGATTTTTTCCCCCAAAGAATGGCCATTCTGCCTCAGCCTAGAGGACACACATCACCATAATCAAGGGCCCATCGCCACTACCTGAAGATAAGATTGCATAGCTCTTGGAGTGAGTTCAAGTGTGGGTATGATAGCAACTGAAAAAGCTGTAACTTGGGTAGAGTAGACTCATGGCCCTTCTTTTTTAAGGAAAGATAAAGACTATACCCCCATATCTTTCATCTATACCTGGAGAAACCAGCTAGAGTCTGTCTCCATAGGGAGGAGCTCAGTTACCCAGGCAAAGGCAAAGGCTTTCATGGGTGTGATTTCTGCAAAATATGACTTCTGGGCATGATGGTTTCAGTGTTTCTTTTAAAACATAGCTCTTCATCTCCCTTTTGCTCCTGGGTAAGGTTGGGGGTGGGGTAGAATTCAGGGCTTGAATATTGTGGGGTGTCACACAGGGTCCTGGACACAGAAGTGGGTGGTGGTGCTTGGTGTCACACTCTGTTCCCATCATCTCAACGTTTTTCTTTTCTCTTGACATTTTGTAAGTAACGTGCAATGAAACAACGGAGCAAGCATGTCGAAGCCTGGACGTTTCTAGAGACAGGACACAGGCTCGGGCCCAGAGGGCAAGGTTGACCTGGCCATCTTGAGAATCTCAGGAGCAGTCTGGGAATCTCAGGGTCCAGACATAATGGTGACGGCAGCTGTGACCCCAGCCCTGGAGAGAAAGGATGATCTCCATGTGGGCCAATCTTGGAAAGTGCATTTATCCATCAATGGAGATATCCTGGAGTATGTGCACCAACGTTAGTTAATTCTGACCTGAACTCTGGGTTGGGACTCCTGGTGTCCCAGCAACAGTCAAGGAATCATCTCAAGCTAGATGTGACCATGTAAAAACGGAGGAAGACACCAGAGCTCGTAAAACTCTTACAGAGTCTTAGAAACTTCAAGGGCTTAGTACTACCTTGGAAATGGGGATTAAATGCATGAAGAGTCAAATTCAATGGGGAAGAATGCTATTTTCATATGAAGCTTTAGGTAAATTTATTGTTAACAAGAAAGAGGGCCAGTCAGTGGTGGTGCCGCCTTTAAAACCAGCACTCCCAGAGGTAGAGGCAAGCTGATCTCTGCAAGTCTGGTCTACAGAGCAAGTTCCAGGATAGCCAGGGGTCCACACAGATAAACTTGTCTTGAAAAAAAAAAACAACAAAGAAAGAGGATTTTAACTTTTATTTTTTCCTTCATAGTGAAGACACAGCAATTGAATGCAGCAACAGAGAGCAGAATAAACTCTAAGGCACAGAACTGGGTTTGCCACCTTACCTGCACAAAACATGAGCAGAAATGGTACAGACCACATTTCTACTTCAAGTTAAACTCGGGAGCTGAAGAGATGGCTCAGTAATTAAGAGCACATACTGCTCTTGTAGAAGATCCAGGCTTGGTGTTCCCGGTACCAAGGTAACTTACAACCATATGTAACTCTCTAGTTCTAGGAGATTCTACCCACTCCTCTGACCTCCATGGGCACAAGGCATAGACAGACATGCAGGCAAAATGCTCACATATAAAATAAAATTAAATAAATCTTAAAATAAGATGAGTAAAGTTAAATTAAAATCTACATGAAGCAGACATTTTAAGTAATTAAATATTGGGATCTTTATAAGAATAACCATCTTCAAGATGCATGTACCACTTTTGCACACCAAACTGATACATCTGTACACAACTCCTACACCTCTGGCTCAGGAAACATCACTAAAGAAGGAGTAGGGAAGATGGAAAGAGCTGGAGGACTGGGATACCGGCTACAATACTGTGTCTTCTACATAGGACAGTGAAGTTACACCCAAGACATTTTAACAATATGATTTCCTAAACAAGACCTGCACTGTGATATTACCAATTAGCATTTCAACGTGGATGGGGGATATCTCAAAGGTCCCACCCTTAGGTGAAGAGGTACAGGCGATTAAGGGCTGCTGAGAGAGAATCAGTCTTCTGCAGGGATCAGCCCCACTTATAGGCTACCCATTTCCAAGTGGTTTGCTCTAAACACATATACACATGAGCAACATTAAAGGAACTCAGCAGGTTATATGTATATATACATGTATGTACATTTATGTAATAATAATTAAAGGAGTCATGAATTTGAGGAGAGGACACAGGAAGAACTGGACAGAGAGAGGGAGAAATGGAAGTGATATAAATATAGCACTTACATATAAAATTCTCAAGAGAATTTGAACTAATCTTTTAAAAAAGAACCAACATCTCAAGATAAAGAAATATTTTTGTTTTATAATAATTTATCCCAGCATTTCCATAGACTAGGAAACACCCTTCACCTGCACAACACAGCTCCAAAAAAAGTAATTAAGTTGCTCAAAGTATAAATTATCTAAGAAACAAATTTATAAAAATGCTGTATGGAAAAATTGAATAATCAATCAATTCATTTTACTAATAAATTAATTATTTTCCAGATGTATAACAACTAGAACGGTTCTTTACTGTTTATAAGCCTATACTATTTGTCCTCTATAGTTCTTATTCTTATTACATTTTACAAATTGTAAAGTGCTATTAAGGAAGAAAGCTTGCTGTCTTCTTGTTCTCAACACAGCATCTCTTTTCTGGTCTTTGCATACTCCTGCATCTTTGTCCAGCGCCGAGCTTTCTAAATGTAGAGTTGGCCCTGTTTTGATCACTTGTGGGTGAGTCATTTCATTTAGTCCTTATTCACAAACTTGCCAGTGAGGCATGACTCAATCTCACCCAAGAAAACTCCAGGACCTGGAAAAGTTAAGAGACACCCATGGTCACTTGGCTAAGTGACAGGGCTGTCACGGGAAAACAGAACCAGTCTGTCTTCAAAGTCTTTGCTGCTAATCCCTTACCCAGTAACCAAGGTGTCCTGATAACTTCACCCCTTTGTTTTTCTACAGCACAAAGCCAGAAGGGTACTCTACCAAACACTAGTTTTGCTTGGCGCTGCTATCAACCTCTCCAGTCTCCTGAGAGGATGGGCTGAACTTGCTGAGACTCCGATTGCAGGCTACTGCCACCTTGTGGGGAGCCTTCGTCCAGGTCCCCTTAAGATCCACAAGCTTTATCACTTCCCTGCTTTCCCAAAGAAGCATGTACAAACCTGAGCCATCTCATAAACCATGCTGACTTCAAGCTTGACGTGAAGCCAAGGATGACCTTCATCCTTGGCTCCTCATACCCTCACCTTCCAAGTGCTAGGATTACAAGCATGAGCCAAGTTTTATGCAGTGCCAGGAAGTTGAATCCCAAGCTTCATGCATGCTAGATAAACACTCTACCAAGTGAACCTCATCTCCCACCAAATTTCAGTATATTTTATTCAAATGTTTACTGTTCATCTCTAGAAGTTCCGTTCAATCCCTTTATGGGCTTCAGCTCTTTCATTGTGAACTGTTTGATCCTGGGCCTTAGGTATGCTTACCCTGACTCTTTTTACACCACTGGCTAACTCTACCATCCTCAGTTTCATTGGGTTCATCTTGCTGTACCACCTTTCTTCTGAGAGCGGACTGTATTCTTATGGTTCTCTGCCTATGGTCATTTCTATGGCATCTAGCACACTTGAAACACTTGAATGTCAAGGATGGATTTGACCATCTCCTTTAAAGGAAAGTTGGGCTTTATTTTAGCTTGGATCTAGGCTTTTTTTTTTCCTCAGATGGTTCTTTCAAAAATGGCTATGCAACCTTCCCAGAGAGCTGCAGAAACCTTTGTAAAGAACTCACCAGTAGCCCCATGTTACTTTAAGAAGGGAGAATACTCCCCACTTTGCTGTTGGGAATGCATTTCCCAGGTCCATGTACTCCGGAAACATCCACACGGTTACTTTCTGATGTTTTCATTTTCCTCTGGCCATGTGATGTTTGTCCCAAGTGTCCTTGTGTCATGAGTCACCCCAGGACTGAAGTCCCCTCCACCTCTCTGGTGCGGCTCTCAAGCACTGTCTCCAGCTGAGGCCCTATCCTCCCTTTCCCACCTCTCAAGAAACTGGGGAAGTGCTGTTGGAATAGCGGTCTCAGTGGTTTAAAGCAGAAACATTACTTGCTGGTCTTGTGATTCGGCCTCTCTGTGCCTTGGCTTAGAAACTACTCGTGTAGTTAAGTGCTGTGTTCATGAACTTGCCAACCTCCCTCATTTCCTCCCTCCCTCCCTTCTTCCTTCCCTCCTTTCCTCCTCTCTCTCTCTCTCTCTCTCTCTCTGTCTGCTTGCCTCCTTCCCTCCCTCTCTCCCTGTTTCCCTCCTTCCCTCCCTCTTTCCCTCCTTTCTTCCTCTCTCTCATTTTGCCTCCTCTCTCTCTCTCTCTCTCTCTCTCTCTCTCTCTCTCTCTCTCTCTCT